CCTCTCCCACCAGGTCCTGGCAACCACTAATCTATTTTCATTCTCTACAGATTGGCCTATTCTGGACATTTCATATAAATGAACTCATACAACATGTGGCTTTTTTCCCTTTGCTCTCAAGGTCATCCATGTTGTAGCAACTCTCACTACTTCCTTCATATGGCTGAGTAATGTTGTATTACGTAGATATACCACATTTTGCATATCCTACTCATCAGAAGCTGGACATTTGGGTTGTTTCCACATTTCACTTATGAATAATGGGGCTATAAACACTGTGTACAAGTGTTTGCATGTAAATATGTTTTCATTTCTCCAGGGTATGTAGTAGAAATGGAACTGCTGGGTCATATGGTAACTGTATGTTTAACCTTTTTGTGTGTTTAACCCTTTGACGAAATGCCAAATTTGTTTCCAAAGCTGCTGTGCCACTTTAGATTCCCACCAGCAGTATATGATTTCTCCATAGCACAACCACCATCTGTGTCTGTCTTTTTTGTTATGGCCATCCTGGGTGCGAAGTGGTATTACATTATAGTTCTGACTTGCACTGCCCTAATAATTATCATGTGTTTATTCGCCAGTGGTTTACCTTCCTTGGAGAAATGTCTACCCTGATTCTTTATAATTGGATTTGTCTTTTACTGTTGAGTTGTAGGAGATCTTTATAGATTCCACCTATAAGTCTCTTTTCTTCAGTGTGATTTGCAAATACTCTCTCCTCTTTTGTGGACTCTCTTGTCACTTTCTTGATAGTATACTTGAAAACACAAATATTTTTAGTTTTGATGAAATCCATTTTCACTCTTGCTTGTGCTTTTTGTCTCATGTCTAGAATCTAGAGCCTAGTTCAAGGTCACTTCAAAACCTATGGCCTAGGTTTTCTTCCAAGAGTTTTATCATTTTAACATACAGGATCCATTTGGAGATAATTTTTATATGTAATTTGAGGAAGAGGTCCAATATCATTCGTTTATATGTGCATATCCAGAGTCATGTTGGAAAGCCTGTTTTTTCCCCTTAATCTTGACATTCTTGTTGAAAATCAATGATCCATTAATGTGATGGTTTATTTTTGGTATCTCAATCCCATTCCATTAATCTAATTTCTATTTTTATGCCAGTGCCACTCTGAAGATTACTGTAACTTTTCAGTGAATTTTGTTGTAGTAAAACATACATAAAATTTATTGTTTTAGGCCAGGCATGGTGACTCACACTTGCAATCTCAGTACTTTGGGAGGCCTAGATGGGAGGATTGCCTGAGGTCAGGAGTTGAGGACGAGTCTAGGTAACACAGTGAGACTTCGTCTCAATGAAAAATTTTAAAATTAGCTAGGCATAGTGTCATAAGCCTGTAGTCCCAGCTACTCAGGAAGCTGAGGTAGAAGGATTGTTTCAGCCTAGAAATTTAAGGTTACAGTGAGCTATGAGTATGCCTCTGTACTCTATCTAGTCTTAGCCACAGAGAAAGAAGACCCTGTCTTTAAAAAAAAAAAAAAAAAAATTACCATTTTGAGGTATACAGTTCAGTAGCATTAAGTATATTCACATTGTATAACCACCTCCAGAACTCTTTCATCATCCCAAATCCAGTAAGTTTTTGAAACAGTAAAATCTAAGAGGAACATTTTTCCAACATTGTTTTGGCTATTCTAAGTCTCTTGCATTTCTATGTTAATTTTAGGATTAAAACAACTTGTCAACCTTTGCAAAAGAAACTGTTGAGATTTTCATAGGAATTGCAGATTCCAGATTGGTAGATCAATTTGGTAAGTAACGGCTTTTAACAATGTTAACTATTCTAATCCATAAAAATGGTACGTCTTCTCATTACTTTGGTCTTTAACTTTTTTC